TTTAAAGTGCTCTATAAATACAGTTGAGTTGAGTTGAGTATGCTAGGAATTGTCTTGCACTGAACAAAATGAAAAAGAGTGAATATATGTCTCTTTCTGTACCTTTTTGCAGTCGTGTTGGTTTCTATGTCAGCACCTTCCAGAGTTTGGCTGGTTTTGAGGAAAAGTTTCACAAAGAAATTAGCCGGGTGAGTGTGATACAACATTTGTTGGAAACAAGAGAAACAAGAGAAAGCATCAGAAGAGTATTGGGACACATCACTTGGTCACATATTGAATTGGTTATGAGATGCACTTGAGTCCTTAGTCCCCCATCCCCCACCCCCAAACGTTAATTCTTCCTCTTAACAATTTTCCCATTGCAACTTTGTGAAGATAATTTGTGAAAGCAAAATCCATATAAGGCACGTTTGAGGGTGTTTGGTGTCGAAGAAATTGTGAGCACTTACCTCACCCCCATCGAAACACATTTTCCTAACCTCACAAATGTTCTTGATTAAAAATTAATTAAGAAATAAATCTTTCAAATACTTAACCCATTCAGGAACAGCCATTTCCGACCCTTTTTTTGCCCTAAGTCTTGAAGTCTTGAAAAAAATATAAATAAGTACCGTACCTGGAATTGAATGTGTGGGGCCTGTCAAGTCATATAAATACACTATATGTGCGAGTGAATTAATACAAACAGCATTCAAAGAAGAGTGGATGAATGAGTGGCCATGTGTTCCAATACTTTTGTCCAGTGTTTTGTCGATTGTTGGCTCATCTTGAGTTTTGTAAAACCTCCTTGATTATACGATTGACAATAACAAGGTGCAAAGTGACTACTCTAAGTGGGCAGGGAATCTAATCCTTTCTGTTTTTCCCACTGCTGACAGCTGGATCAGGATTTATATGATGTGCTGGAAAAACTCGAAAAGACAGACACAAGCAGGTTAGTGAGCAAGTTTGTCACGTGTCCTTTTATATTCAGCCATTTGTTTTCTTCCGAATGACTCATTCTGATACTGTACGAAGTAGTGTAATGGAATTAAATGTGAGGTTTTGCCCATATTGTGAATAATGGAATGGATTTTCCATCCAGCTTCAGTTGACGTTGCAGATTTGCCTCTTTATCTGAAACTAAAACAGAGCATTTCACAAACGTGTTACGATTAACACTTAAAAACAAGTCATTAATCTGAAGCCACCCCTGAACCTTCGTTGCAGAAAGACAGGTAACCGCAGCGCCTTATCGTCAGGAGCAAATAGGAGGTAATCAGCAAGGAAGGTGGTAAACCACGGTGACGTCACTGTTGCTCCGTCTGTCCACTTGTCTGTTTGTCAGTCAGTTTGCAGGTTTGAGCGCGCATACACGGTGCTTGGTTGTGCAAGTGGGCTCACAGACACTGTCTGGGAAAGAGCGCTGTGCTCTCACAGCTGCAGATATGGAAGAGATGGGCAAACCATGTATGCTTTCATGCTGCGCCAGTGCGTTTCATAATACTTTCAACTCATCTTCAAGTGCATAGAATCTTCAAATTGCAGCTTTCTGGGGATTAGGAAGTGCACTGTTTACAATTTTATAAGCCTAAGTGATATAGTCTGATAGCAAAACAGTTTCTTGGTTCAGAAATATGTTGTGGAAATTTCATTGGGTACCACCAAACAATATGTTGAGATTAAATTCAAGAGCTGTGTCGAAATTTTGCCATTTCCCAAGACTGCAATTAGAATGTCATATTCAAAGATGACCGCATTATTACTGTATAGCCCACCCTTTTGGGCGCATCCCTTTCAATACACAAGCGGATAAACAACGAGAGTGCAGCTGTACTACCATGTGGGGAAAATGTAGTTTGAAAAACTTTTGAACAGACTTATCTTACTAATTAGACTTAGAAAGTACAACACAAGATTAAATAAAAAATTGTTGCTTAGTTTGGTCGTACACAAATGGGATAGTTGCAACATACCGTGGATATAAAAGTCTACACACCCCTGTTTATATGGCAGATTTTTGTTATTTACAAAGCTGAGCCCATGATGAATCATTTCAAAACTCTTCCTATAAATGACGTGTCCTATAACATGACCAAGTCAATTTATGTATTTATTTTTCTTGAAATCTTTTCGGGAGCTAAAGTAAAAATGACTGATGCGACAGTATTCAGAATTGACTTCATCACATTCAGACTCATGTTAAAAGAGGGTGAGCACACACACAATTAACCCTGTAGAACCCACGGCGTCAAATTTGGCCCCTATAAATTCTGCTACTCAAATGCTACCCTTAAATCCCAAAGGGTCAAATTTGGCCCTAATCCTAAATTAGGATTAAAGCATTGGATATTTGAAAATACATATATTTTGGTGTTCAGTGAACATATAGCAGTCATTTAATGTATAATTCATAATTTTCCAAAGAAGAAAAGGGTTCTTGGGTTCTCCAGGGTTAAAAGTGCCACTGATTACCGTATTGGCCCGAATATAAAACGGCCCTGATTATAAGACGACCCCCTCCTTTTCAAAACTCAAGTTTGAAAAAAGAGTTTTAGAACACCAAATTAATTTTTATACAGAAAATAATTACAGATGACCCCCACTTTTTCAGTCTTATTTCAATGCAAAAAACACCGTCTTATAGTCGGGCCAATCCGGAATCCCGACTAAAGTTCAGACGTTCTAGTAGGTTCTTCCTGACATTTTTTTGGAGCAGTAGCCTGAAGGTTATGTAACACTGACTGCTATTTGGAACCTAGCATAATTCCATCCACCTTGTCTCCTGGTAAATCCCCAGTTGCAGCTCAACAAAAAACATCTCTAAAGCATGAAGCTTTGAAGCTGCCACCACCATGCGTCACTGTAGAAGCGGTGTTCTTTTGGTGATGACAAATCATGACATTTTCCCAAATATTTTGAAGATTTTGCCATGGTTTTGACATCCCCACTTGAAAAGATAAAAACAACTCAAGAAATAAAGTCAATTGAATTGTGCAGGTTACAAGTCACGATCATCGTGAAAAAAGTTTTGAAACCATTTGTCTTGGTCTACCCGGCATTTAACCATTTTCATTTCATTCACACTTACGACTTAATTAAAATGTATTTTTTTACATCCACTGCATTGCTAACGAAGAACATTTTAGATCACAGGTGAAAGAAGCTGATGACACAACTAGAAAAACACGACTGCTGCACAACATGCTTTTGAATCACAATGCAACAGAATTGGTTCTCTTGTTAACCGAAAAGTGTTCTGATCACATATGAATGGAGAAGCAGACACAAATATGTCACTTCACAATTATTTTCACTTTTATTTACCAGTTTACGTATGGAGGAGGTCTGCACTCCATTGCGTGTGCTTCAATTAGATGAGTAAAACAACGCAATAGTTTAAATACAGCTCTTGTCTGGAATCTCATTAGATTCGACCTCATTTTAACGTTGGCGCCAAAGTGTTTCTGTCCATCTCCTTCAATATCTTCAGTTCTGAGGCTTCTGTCAGCTTCTCCAGTATGCTCCCTCGAACTAATGATGCCACGACTACTGCTCTCTTGTGAGGATTTATTGAGGCACAGACATAGCCTGCTTGCATGAGATGCAAGAAGGATCGAGCAGGGATGGAAGGAGGCTCACTTTCTTGCATGACCACTCTGCATGAAGTGCAACTTTTCTGTCACACCTTTCTTCAGCTCTCCTCCTAACGTGTTGTACGCTCACCCTGGGCAACCTGGATTTTTTTCCCACCCTTTCTGTATTTCTCACTGACTCAGTGGCATCGATGAGTCCAACCATACTCTCAAGCCAGGAGGACCCCCGCCGATTCCAAAATCCCCATCCAAGGTAGATGCTCATCTCTTATTTGCCACCGTTTTTTAAATGTTTTTAAATTGCTCATGTCTTTGTTCCAGCTCAGACCAGCAGTGCCTCCTCCACCCAAGGTGACTCCATCCAAAGAGATGAAAACGGAAAATATCATCAACCTGTTTGATTCTGCAGCAACTCCTGACATTAGTGTCACCTCCCCTACAGAGGTTTGTTTGGATAACTGGTGTTCCCAAACAGTGGAATACTCATTTCACTTTTCTTTCTCTCTCTGTAGCGTGTTATCTCGCCGGCTTTGTTTTTTTCTCCCTTTCATGATCTTTGTTGTGCAATGTGGCTAGCAAGCCAGTGTTTCTGTCGCTGACATCATTTTGATAGAACTGTAGCCCAGAAGTCCATTGAACATGGGGCTGAGCGCTTTCAATGGAACAACGAAAGCCTTCAAGGTCTCACAGCTGGAAGAGTAATGGCATGGATATGTAGCGTTTAACTCACCTTATTACATCATTGAGACTCCAGGTTTATCAAGCTATTTTTTGTCCACATTTCACAAATTTGGGAATATGATACCACATTAGGATCTCTTGATAGGAAATATGATGATCAGGTGCTTGTAGGGGGCAAAACAAAGTTTGGAGTGAGGTGTTGCGGATTCTGCCTTCTTTTAAAATATCAAGCTGGGAGCATGGTGGCTTATAGATATGTCCTTCCGTTGACTGTTTTCGATACTTTAATTATGATGCTCGACAGCGAGGTCTTCAATCATGGACAAAAGTGCAGAGCGAACATTGCAAAGAGTTGAGTTTTCCTTATTTTCCGTACTGTTGAGACTAACGCTTCCATTGTATGAAGCTTTCCTTTGGCGCTGCTGCTTGTCAGGATTCAATTATCTGGATGAATGGCATGCTGCCTCTGTGCCTTTTATTTATTTATTTTTTTTACTGGCTCTACCATTAGGAACATCTCAGCTCAGTCTTTTCAGAGATAATTATGCTCTGTTTGAATTGTTGTTTTTGGAGAGATATTGATCGCTCAGCATGGTTCTGTAATCAACAGGGAGCCGTAATAATAGACTGCATATTGACCACTAGGGGTAAATTATGTCCCGGTTAAAACGATTTACAGTAGAAGTTGGCATTTATGCAATGGGAGTGTGAGTTGACAGTGTGTCATTTGCAAAGTCAAAGTGTTTGTTAATTACTGTATAGATTTCTGCACATCAATATCCACCACTTGATAGCTTTTGCTGTTGCACAGTTTCAGATACTTTCGTTTTGATTTAAACCAAAACATTTAAGCAGTAGGCCTAACAACACAGCTCTGTAAAGTACTCTGATGCTATTACTTCTGCCCCGACAGCCAGCAAACTGGGACTCCTGGGTAAGCTCAGCAACCCCCATTATTTATTTACAAATCATTTTGATAATCGCCTTCATTTACATACCATTGAGTAAATGTTTTCCATTGTGTTACATAGCCATTATATAAGCATCATTGTCTGCGAGACTTCTTTCACGGCTGCTTTGTGTATCTAAACACATTATTCCATCAGTGGTACGTCTGTCCTGAATCTCTTTGTGCATTGTTCTCATGGCTGCAATGTTTGATTACGTTTATGTTTACATCGCACAAATGGAACTCGGAAATGAGCTTCAGTCAATTCCTTTTCAAAAAACATGTTCTACATTTAAATTGAATGGAGTACACTTGGCTGCTTAAAAAATACACCATCCTCACATTTGAACTGCAAATGAATAATAATCAGTATAAATGTTTGAAACTGAATTGACCTCCGTTTTTTTTTTTTTTTTTTTTTGGATTCGTGTATCTTCGTATGTTACACTGACAGAACACGTGTCCTCTACATGCCATCTAACACACAGGGGACAACTGACGAAAGTTGCTCACCTTTTTGTCAGTCTTTACCTTTAGTGAAGGCTCTTGCAGGGAGGGACAGAGAAAATTCAAAACCTGGGCAACTTCACAGAGTCTCGCTTGCACAGTGGCATCCGTGAACTAACCTTTTCATTCATCACTGTAAGAGAGACGTGTCTCAGAGACAAGACAGTTCTTTGCTGTAATTACAGCTCGAGGCAACCAACAATACTCCACAATGGAATGACACTTCTGCTCTTACAACGATACGCACCCAACCCCGCCTCTGCCTCATGACCATTGCTCTGTGATTAGAAGCCATGCTTGCCAACTAAACACAGAAGAGCTCACGTTGATCTTCTGATGGGAATGGCTTCCTTTATACCTTTGAACGCCATTCTTCTTTCATTTTTTTTTTTAATGTACAATTTATTCATTTAATTTTAGATCAAACCTTCCCGGTGAAGGTTTATGTCTGTTTTCCCAAAATTGCCTTTTGTTCCTTTGTACAATGATGATGATGATGATGATGAAGATGATGATCAGGTTCTGGGCTGTTTGATGTCTGCCCATTGCACCAGCTAATATGTTGCAGTTTACTTTCAACTTGAGAAAATATGTTGCTTTTTTAATAATTTCCTAAGCCCTCACCATATTTTGATCTAACAATGAGTGTTCAACTTTTTAGCTCATTGAACAGATACTGTCATTATTAGATACTTCACGATTAGGGAAATCACTATTAAGTGACGGTAATGCTAGAATCCATATTTATTTTCATATTTCATATATATTGACAACCATCTACCCTTGCGATTCTCATAGTGTGGTTTGCGGTCTCTCTTTATTGTTATATGAAAAAATACATATTCGTTCAGCACATTAGTTATGTCAGTTTGGTTGTGTTTAACACTCCCAAATACGTTTTTATATGTCTTTTCAGACTTGGTTTAGAATTGGCTGGTACTGAATGAGTTAACTTTTAAGTACAATGCATTTGTCTTCAAGCAACAATTTAAATACAATTGTATGCAAGTTACATACATAAGTTCATTTTTATTTGATTTAACTGAATCATTAATTCAGTATGTGATTCATTTTCTGACACCCGAGCAGCGGTGATGTTTCAACCGTGCATCATGTTACAGTGGCTTACACTCATGGAAATGTTATTATAATTATATAGTTATGATTCAATTGACTTTTTAGGGTGCAATACCAACTTTTTTGATCCGTTAAATTGCATCCTTGAAAGTGAAATGTGTTATGAAAAGAGCCAAAAGTGTGATTTCCCCATCCAATCCCAATTATGTTCCTCAATAGTCCAGTAAACCTCCCCAGCCCTGGAACGATCTGTGTTTGTAATTCTGAATCGTTAGCTATATCTTCCCTCAATACTTCAGTGTCCCTCAACATCTTCCCCAATTATTTGCCAACCCGGTTATGAGGTAAACCATGTCTTCTGAACTCTGACCCCATGAAACCTAACACCTGCCCCTCAGCCAGAGGATGACGGTGCCCAAGAGGAGCCCGCCAAGAAGCACTATGACCCTGTGGCGGCTGCTGCAGATGCCTGGGGGGATGACGATACGCCGCCCGCCCGCTATGACCCGATAGCCGCTGCCACGGAGGGCTGGGGGGGCGATGGCACCCAAGCAGTTCGCTCTGACGCAAAGGAGGATTGGGGGGACGATGAAACCCGACAGGCTTATGATGAATCCGTAGCTGAAGCCCCAGAGGGTCCAGTCGAGAACGACAACCAGCCGGACGCAGAGGACGCTGCAAGTCCTGCTGAGGATTCAGTTGACACCTATGAAGAAGCTCCTCCTAATGCTGCAGATGAAGAGGATCAGGTAACCAAGAGGATGCATCTGGATGAAAGCGGTGGATGCATCAGCTTTGTAGGAGATTTGAACTTAAGATGCCGACTTGATAAAGAAAATTGTGATTAAGAGTCTGAAAGAAGGAGACTTCTTATGATGGAGATGATGCATCTGGACCGGGAGAATGGATGCATCCATTTTTTTTTCTCTTAAGTCAAATTGTGGAGCCTAGAGATGATTTCCGTTCACATCATTAATACGAGTAACTGCAGGTGAATATGGTGCTCTAATATCCTTGGCATTGATTCAGCCTTCTTGCCTGTCTTGTCATCGTGCTGCTTTTGTTGTTGTCTGTCTTGTAGTGTGTCAGTCTCACACATTCTCAATTATTTATGGTTTTATATCATGTACAGTGTCTGCCTCATCTTTTCTATTGGTGTATATTTGGTCTCAGGGTGAGTCTGAAACAACTCCTGAAGCTGTTCCTGAAGCAGAAGCAGTGGACACAGTAGAAGAAACTTCAACACAAGATGTGAGTACAAGCAGCCATCCATTTTTCAGTGACCAAAAAAAAAAGAAAAAAACCCTAAAAATGACATTTGATATGGGCTGTAAGCTTTGTTAAAAAAAGGTGAAGGTGGGCAGAGTGAGAAGGGAGGGTGTCAGAAAAATAGGTGTCATCCGTACCTATAAATTTGTTTATGTACTGTCGAGCTTTTCTCAATATTCAAAGATACAAATAAACCATTTATGACTTAAAGAATAACAACTCTTCAAAACACTGTTGTGAATAAAGACGATTTAATTTTAGAGGCAAAAATGGTTTCTCCCACTTTGTGCTCTATGGCTGATTTATGAAGACATCACATTAATGATCCTCAAGTAGCTATTTGAAAAATGGTGACTTAACTACAGTTTGTTGTGTTTTTGGTTCTGAATGTGGAGATGGGATTCACCCTTCCATTTCTCTGTACGCGGCCCTCAAACAAAAAGGTTTGGACAGACCTGAATTAAATTATGTTGTGTGTTCCTATCTAGACACCTGCAGTAAATGAAGAACCAGTAGAAGCAAAAGCAGACTCACCTGACATGCCGCCTGGCTTCCTATTTAAGGTAACATGTGAGCCTGAAACAGAACATCTCAACAGAGTGAAATATTCCTCAAACCCGGGAATGGGCAACTGGTGGAATGCAATCCAATTCTGAGTGGCCCCTTGATGAAAAAATATATTTTGTTTACAACCCCTTCAAAAAACTAAAAAAAAAAAAAAACACTGCTTAACTTTCAACATATGTCATCAAAGAAATGTGGGTAAATGTGGAAATCCAGGAAAACTGGAAAAACAGCAAAGTATAAAAAAACTGTTGAAAAAAAATACACCACTGTTTGGTAGACATGGCTTAGTTGACTATCCTATAACACGGGTCGGGAACCTTTTTGTCTAAGAGAGCCATGAAAGCAAAATTGTGATGTTTCTGTTTGGTTACATTTGGTTTTGTTCCCTCATGTGCCCTTTTTGTCGCCACCTGTTCTCGTTATCAGTGTCACTTGTGTTTAACCAATCAGGTCCCTCAGGTCCTGTCCAGGTGTTTCTTGTTGTCTCGTCACTTTGCTTGTATTTAGTTCCCTGAGTTCTGTCAGTCTTTGTTGGGTCATTGTGAGTTGTTAGTATGTGAGTGTCTGTGTGCTCCGCTCCTGTCACATGTTTCTTTTGTTACTTTGGCTCCTTGTGATTTCCAGGACTTTGTGTGAGCACTTGTAGATAGTAATTCTCCAGTGTACCCGTTTGCATTTTTGTTAAATACATCTTGGTCACTCCACCCTGCACCTCCCTGCTTTTTGGGGTCCTCCAGCATCACGACAGTGACAAAAATGTTTGGAAATGTATTTCAGTGAGATGTAATATACTGCATTTTAAAAGTGAATTCAACAAAATATCAGTATAATAAGCCTCTGAATCTTTTCTTTTAAATAATTTTGTTATAATACCGTTAATTTGAATGGTTTTCCATTCCTCACTATTGCTAAATATCCAGCAAAGCTCGTGGAATTATAGTCACCTTGCCGGGTCCATACACGGAGTTGCTGCTGGATAGCTTGCACCCAGCTCAGTAGCTTGCACACTTCCTTTCTGCTGTCTCCCGCAGGGTATTTTGATGCGAACGTAGCATGGCGAGTGTCAAAGTGCCTCTTCACATTCACCCGTTTCATCGATGGTATTTTGTCATTGCAATTTAGACACACGGCAGAACCTGTTCCCTCCACAAAGGCGAACCCTTCGGTCCATTTGTCCTGAAGTGTACCATACTCGTTATCTTTTTATTTTTATTTTCACCAACTGCTTTGTTAGCTTTGAGCTAATGACGGAGCAGACTGATTCAAAAGGGGGAGTTAAATTGTTTACCCAAAAATGACCAATGTTGGCCAGTATCATCCAATTAAAATTGCTTCAGCAGCCAACTGCAGAGTGAACGGGACATGAGCAGTGACAAATCAATGGATGGATTAAACAAGTGGGAATATTTTGTTTAGTCTGCGAGCCAGATGCAATAATCAAAAGAGCCACACCTGGCTCCCTAGCCATAGGTTCCCGACCCCTGCTATAATCCGACATGAGTAGTGCTGATATATATTGCGGATTTTGAATGACATGGATAGTACCGTATTTTTCGGATTATAAATCGCAGTTTTTTTCATAGATTGGCCGGGGGTGCGACTTATACTCTGGTGCAACTTATAAGTGAAATTATTAGCACATTATCATTTCTCATGTTATTTTCACACTAAACAGCAAGAGGGTGCTGTAGGCCTGTGTTGATAAGTCGACAATGAGTGACGTAAGCGATGTAGAATAGGAAGCGCCACATCTTCTACCTCCAGAGTTCGCAGACTTGTTTTAAACAGACACCGAGGATGAAGATTTCATTGGATTTAGTGATTTGGAGAGACACTGATGGTTTGGTAAACTTGTTAGCATGTTCTTTATGCAATAGTTATCTGAATAAGTCTTGATATGTTACGTGAACATACCAGGCACGTTCGTTGTTTATGCGTCATGTAACGTTAGCTTGTAACATAATTATTCAGCCTGTTGTTCTCTATTTTATTTTTATTTGCCTTTCAAGATGACATGTCTGTTCTTGGGATTGGATTTTATCACGTAAATTTCCCCCCAAAATGCGACTTATACTCCAGTGCGACTTAGGTATGTTTTTTTTTTTCTTTATTATGCATTTTATGGCTGGTGCTACTTATACTAAGGAGCGACTTATAATCCGGAAAATACGGTACCTCAATAGTAATACCATTTTGAGTGAGTTGATCTTTGTGGAAAAAATGCACACAATTTGTTCTTACACCTCATGTTGTTTTGCTCTTTAGCAATTTTGTGCCATCCTTGAATGCTATTTCTTTCTTTATTTTTTTATGCAAGAAAGCCCTTTGCATTGTGAAAAGAAAAAAATCACCCTGTGGTTATTTTGTGGTTTGCTTCAAACTCTTTGTTGTTGGGTAAGTGAATCTTTCAGACATGCAGTGAGAAATGTAATAAGTGTGCGTGAGCCCCACTATAGAAGTCATAAACATTGTGGCCCCCTCCAGAATTTCTGTTGCCCATCCCTGCTCTAAACTATTCATTTTCTGTTTCTACTAATGTGTGGTAAAGGTCCAAGTTATGCATGATTATGCAGCAAATGACACGGATGAACTTGAAATGAAGGCGGGAGACGTGGTGCTAGTCATACCCTTTGACAATCCAGATGAACAGGTACGTGCACACCCATTCTCACAGGCTTGCATCACAATATGTCAAGTAATAGTGTGTGTATCTTTAGGATGATGGCTGGCTGATGGGAATAAAAGAGGATGACTGGAAACAGAAAAAAGAAAATGGAACCAAAGGAGTATTCCCTGAAAACTTCACCCAGAGGCTGTAAAAGTTTCATCGTCAGGCCAACTTTTTTCCTTCACTCCTTTTCCCCTATCATCCCCACTCCCTGTCCTATTCTTGCCCTGTCTAAATACTTGGACTTTGACCATAGACGCGGAACTGAAGTTGCAGTTCCATGACTGAGGAATCAGAATTCCTGCAGAAGAGAAATGACAGCCATTCAAGGGCGCCAAATATTAGACTAACAGTGCTATCGTTAACTGGGCTGATAAGGGGATCTTAATCTCATGCAGGACTAATGCAGATGTGGCTGCCTCTGTAATGGCTTACCATAACATACTCATTAAATTTCGATAGAACTCATCACGAAATTCTTCAACACATAATTGCTTAACAGACAACACATACTTAGTTTGTCTATGACATAAAAATCTCTGGTTTGATCTGTTTTGGTCACATGTAGCAAGTGATTTAGAAATATTCAGGTAGGGTGAGCTGTTAAGATCAGGTGTCGCGGATTCTAACATTTGTTGTTTACCAATCAGAAATGAGTGCAATTAGTCTTGGGCAGCTGTAACAATCATTCTTAAATCCTTATTCCCACTAAACATGGGCCATTGGTTGTTGTATTGTTTTGATTTTTTTTTTCATGGTGATAAAAGTGGTTTAACAGTGTTGCTAGGCAGGTTATTATGCATTCAAGTATCAGTCCGACTGTCAACAAAGTGATGCTTGCCTAAAAGCTTTCCAGCAATCTGCACCAATGAGAAGCTGCGACTGGTACTATAATAGTTAGGCAGACTTAATCACACTCTAATCCAGGGGTAGGGAACTCTGGTTCCTAGAGAGCCATATCCTGCCTGTTTTGGATCTCTCTTTCCTTCAACACACCTGATTCAATTGTTCAGGCCTTGACAGAGCTTGCTGATGAACTGATCCTTTGAATCAGGTGTGTTGTTGTAGGGAGGGACCTAAAACAGGCAGGATATGGCTCTTGAGGAACCGCAGTTCCCTACCCCTGCTCTAATCCAACATATTCAAACTGAGCCAGCTTCATTCACTCTTAAAAGGTGACTTGACATCAGCTCCTCCTACTTTCATCAACGACAACTTTGCTGACAAATGCAAACGTTTCCAAATATGCACCAGAGCTACTTGTTTTATTTTTGTATGGCGCCAAGCAATGATGATATAGCCTATATAGCGGTCACCATAATTGCCAACTGAGGATGCTACAGAGCGTTTTGTACTACAGGTTCTCCGCTCTTACATAGTCCAAAAACATTCACAGACTCGACCGAGATTCACATTTGTTTCTATTACTGTGTAAAAGTGAGAGTGAGGTGCGTGTATGTATGTGTACGTGTGTTTTGGAACAGAAATTCTTTATTTCTTGGCTTGTGTTACGGGACAAACCCCCTGGAAGGTGTGCGTCCATTTGACAGGGAGCTTTCCAGACAGGACAAACAAATTTGTGCTGGCTGGTGTTAACAGGTTCCAGACGTTATTGTGCATTTGTTGTGTATAAATGTAATTTGCCAAGTGACGACAGCTACATATTCGATAAAGATATGTGTATGTGAGTTAATGTGAGCATGCTGACTTCCCGCGTGTTGTTGTGTGAAAACCTTTCAATGCTACTGGGATTACTTTTGAGGAATTGTATGTTGTTGTTTTTTTCCCCATGCAAAGTTTTGTTCATTGATTTATTATTATTATTATTATTTTTTATAAGGGAGCTTTTGAGTAAATTTATCTTGAATATATATACACCACTCCTTGCCCTTGTGGTTATCCACCAAGCTTGCCTCAAAATATTGCCAGTGTATTGTGGTCCAAAAAGATTCAATTGTGATAATATGGAGGCAAGACATATAGAGACTTGACTTTTTTTTTTTTTTTTTAATCACAGCTCAGTGATTTGACCATGTGAGGTTTGCCTCACTCTCCATGTGCAACTTTACACTTTTGAGAACAATGGCTCCACACCTTTTTGTTTTGTTTTTCCAATTTATTTGATAATCATTTTGGTTTTCGATTGCTCTTCAAGCAAGCCTCCTGTGATTATGTAAGAGATAAAACATGTTCAAATATTAAAACATCTTCCCTACCTACCCGACCAATATTAAAAAAAAAAAAGACTTCAAACCTCCATCAGTTTCGACTTTCTGTCTTTTATTTGGAGCAAGCTTTGATTTGAGGATTTAGATTGCAACACCCCCTGCTGGTTGCTTCGATACATATTGATAGATCGTCATATATGCAATGATCGCTGCCACCAGCAGGGTGTACTCTGCCTAAAAGTACAGAACGTATCAGAAAGAAGAAGAAAAAAAAAACACAATCTGAATTGCTGTCCGTGGTACTGAAGCAAACCACCAGCCCACCCTGACACCACCTGATACTAACTCAGGCTCATCATTGCCTGCTCGTTTCTTCACTCGTTGTGCTTAAAGTGTCAAGACATTGTATGAACAAGCATATCACTTGTTTGTGTTATTACATGAAATTATTCAGAGTGATTTTCGTCCTGTTTTATCTCTTAACCTCATTTCGCTTGTAAAGAAAACACATTCTTGGTTGTAATAAAAACAACTTTATGTTAAATATTGAAAAAAAAGGAATGCACAACATTGCCCCATTTATATTCTTAAAAATAGATCTTTAAATAATTTCTCAGAAAATAGCTTCATATACATATTTGACAAATCTGTGCGTAGTGCTTCAGAGTTTCTCCATCCATCTCCATGAAGCACTTGCATCTGAAAATCAGTTACCAGCAGAAAATGTCACTTATTTAAAATTTCGATTTCATATATGTTCGCTAGAAACGTGGTTTGAAATCTATGGATGGAATGAAAACGTACATGCAAAGGAAAGCCATTAAATATAAAAAACTGCAGAAGAAAATAAGCACAATGGAGCACTATGTATAAAAAGCTAGTTATACAGTAGTTTAATACAGTCTGAGTCAAACATAGTTTGGTAGACTGACCAGAAAACTGAGACGTTCAATATAAAACATATGCACAGAGAAGTTTAAAAAAAAAATACTCCTGATATTAATCTGATCGTAAAGAAGATGCATTAATGAATCATAGAATTATGGTGGAAGCAGATGATCAACCCAGTTTAGTCACTTTCTTGCATCAGTGCAAGATTATTCCCTCCTATTGGACAGTCAGAATTCCCCATAGAGCTGCAAACATTAGCATGCGCCGTCTCAGTGGGACTCGATAGCCTCCCTATGGTTTGGGGGCGGGGGGTCGACTAACATGGCACACACCGATTTTTAGTAAGGCTACAAGATCATTTCACCATATATGATACAAAGGGAAACAAAATTGAATATCCCCAGGACAAAGTACTTCTGCATCTGGACAAGACCAACTATAGGTACTCCAAAATGATCTTTAAAATTATTTAAGAAATTATTAGTGGCCTGTAAACAGGCCATCATTCACAGAAATTAATACTTTGATTAGTCATTAGAATCACAGCTCATGGAAGCACTGGAACACCCCTTGGTGATGTGCTCAGCCCCTTGTGGTTTCTATTAAATATGACAATCTGGACCCACACGATCACATGTGTAGATTGTGCGATAGTTTTGCCGCAACATATGATACAATTGATGAGCATTGAATTGTGACATCATGATGAAAATAAAATTCAGTTTATTTTGGTTCGGTGTTTGAATAGTCCAAGATCTTTTAGGTGTCTACCTGGCCAGAATATTCAAGTCTGCTCCTTGCAAAGTCAAGCCATAGTTGACGGTACATCATTGTTTGGTGCACCAGTTGCAAAGGGAGTGAGGATAAACCCGTGCTGTCATGAATCTGCTTCAAATGAATCAAGAATACGTTTTATGTGATTACCCGCATAAAATAAATTAATCTGGCCAAACATTTGAACATTTTGCACTCTTGGGATTCTGAATGCAATCTTACCATTTTTAAACCATTTTTGCAGTCCAACAATTCTACTCTGCCTTGTTTGCAGCCAAGACAAATTCACAATAAACTCAACACATAGTCAAAAATATTCAAATAAATATCGTAAATATATTTTTGCTTACTGTTATGTCAAAAACAATACATCAGACAACAAGGGAAAAATATGAGTCAGTAAAGTGAGTAAACTTGACGTGTAATTACCTTAATGTCATTACTAAACTGCTCAAATAAACATTTACACTGTCTTTTTTCCATTCCTTCAAATTCATCTTTGCCTTAATGTCCTCTTCAACATCTGGAGTTCAAACAGGCCCTCCCAAAATGTATACTCATATTTTAACTTATAGTGATAGCGTCACTATGACTCATTTTGAAGAATAAAAAGAGTATAAATGAATGATGCACCTAATTGTTGACTTTTCTGTTCTCAAAATGCATCATAATAACAAATCATCGTCACTAAAAGGCTAAGGTGCTCCAAGGTAAAACTGAATGACAGACAAAACTCAATAAGGGGGATTCTTACACCAGAAGGTGGCATTAATAGCGTAGGATTTTGGAGTGCCTCTGTTGGATTTTTTTTTGGTCACTCATCCACAACAACAATTTGAGATCAGCGGTCACAGATGCTGAGAGAGGGCCTGGCTGCCGGTTTGTGTTGCAATTTATCCCCAAAGTCTCTGATGGGGTTGACAACTATGAAGTTCTTCCACATCAAACTTATTCAATCATGCCTTCACAAACCCACTGAGGCACAGTCATGCTAGATGACAATTATACTGCTATACACCCATTATTACAGTTGCTCAAGATGTCTCCCAGCGCTTTTATCCATATGGTGTGTGTCAGCATTGTGGCTGATAAACAAGTGCTTACTAATTTGTGGTTTACTGGCACACCTGAATCGCATTCGCGCCATGAACATGAAATTATGCACATTTGCAAAAGCAGTGATGAAATCGCAATTCATTTTCTCTATTGGTGTCTTACAGCATATCGAGACAAGTGGAGTGAGTAAAACAACACATTTCGTGTCCAAACCATTTTTTTTTTTTTTTTTTGCTATTTTGGTGGACAGCTGTTTCTGTGATTTGCTATTCTGATATACAAGCTGATTCAATAGATTTTGGTTTTCTTCTGTCAGAGTCCTCGCTCAGTTCCCAAAGGGTGGAAGTGTTTGGGGGCCAGTAGCATTTCCCCAACCTTCTGTAGAAGCCAGGGGTACCAGTGCACACCATCAGTTTGTTGTTCCTCAGCACCCATGAGGGTGCGGACAAAACGCAGTGGGGCTAGAACCCAGTGGGCCAAATGATGATTGTCCACAGCAGCGTAACAGGATGCCAACACGCTGTTCACGACTATAGACCCGTGCTGGGTCAGTGGGGCATACAACCCAGTGCTCTGCCTCTCCTCTACAAAAGTCACGACGGCTTTAGTTGCCTCCGTTCCTTGCGAGGTCAGTATACACTGACCCGGCTTCACCTCACTAGCAAAAGTTGTCCTCACTCCATCTTGGCTGAGTCCACCCACGCAGTCAGTGACAAAGATGAGATGTGCCGCCGTGAGCGTTATATTTAGTCCAGTGTTGGTTCCAATGAGAGTGAAGATCTTCGTGACGTTTGTCTGGAGATCCAAAAAGGCGAGTACCGGACTGTAGAGAAGCGAACCACGAGCGTCAGTTGTCGAGGAAGCCAAAACACGGTCACCGGGATGAAGGTCACGCATCTGTTTGGTGACTCCGCCCTCAAGGGTAACTTGAGCATCACCTGGGAAACAACCGCCAGTTTTGGCAGCGACAGAATGTTCTGTAAAATTGAGATGGGAGAAAATCAAGATGTGGATTTGATCATATGAAGGCATTTATTTTGTTCCTGTAAACATAAAAAGATATATCATAGAAACTTCTCTAGGAGCCTCGCTTGAACTTCCACATATGGTCATGCAGACTCTCAGTGCTCCATAACTCAAGTCAGACTTTGACACTGACTAAAGGCCAATATTATCTCAGCAGATTAGAGACAGACTGTTTAAAACGTCCTCAACATCTTTTGAGTCAGCATTCATGCACACATGCAGGATGATGTCTTCATCAAAATTTCCAATTTCCAATTGAAATTGGTTGCGCGTCAGCGATTACATTCATATTTAAAATAATGAATGGTAATGGAGACGCTTCAGTGTTGCTGAAGTGACAGCATAGTACACTAACATAAATGTTAAATCTCACAAGCAAACAGAAGACATGTTGAAATTCAAGAAGACTCACTTTAGGGATAACCAATATGAATGAGGCAACACCATTGAAGTTTCTTTTTTTTTTCGTTCTCGAGTGACTCTTGAAAGTGTTCATAGATCGTCAAACTACTTTCTTGTGGCTGAATACTTCTGAGTAAGGTGGCTCTTTAAGACACGGTGAGACGAGGTGGCAAGAGGAGGTAGTCAGCAAGAGGTAATGGATAACCAGCTGATTGTATCTAAGCATGGCCTGGGGTCAAATAGACAGGAAAGTATGTTTGGAAAAAAGCAAGTGAAAGGTGAGCACAGCTGAGGTAGAAAAAAAAAAGAATAGACTATAAATCAACGTTTTACACTATTTTCTGGAATCACATCAAATCACTTTGCCTGACTGATTTGAAATGAATCCACACGCATATTTGATGGATGCATGTGGGTGTCTTAAGTATGTCTTAAGGCGGGCAAATATTTGTCAAAGGTGTGTATCTCTGTAAGTATGCGGCTTGCAGAAAAGGAGGTCTGCAACCAGGAGGTGATAAGGCTCAGATAAGAGATTTGAAAGAAACCTACCGAGGGAAAAGCAACAGCAAAACAAAGAGAGAGTTAATCATCTCACAGCCTACTAACCTCAATGGACTGTTAGAATGTAGCTTGGCATCAAATAACTGGCGGTACCAGACATGGGCCTCGAAAATGTCTTAACTGTTCGAATAGCTTGCAATGGAATGTGTTCAACTATTGTTAGCGCTCAAGCCCCTAAATGATTTGTGTTTCATAAAGGGAATTGCTTCAAATCTACAATCGGTATCTTATCTGTTAGCTGATTATTTTGCAAGTGTTCCGCCTCCAAATGAGAGACAAGGAATATACTAGAATACAGTGTAGTATGTGCAACGCAATACATTTTCAGGGATAAAAATGACAGGTGCGAGGTGGGGGAGCATCCTGGACCGATCACAAACATAGAAGCTGAAAAGAGTTAAGCTTAGAGTGAACCCTAACCCATTTTTGTACACATTGAAGAGAAATTAAGAATGGTTCATTGACCGAACATGTGGTGCATGTTTTGCATTGTGGGAGGAAGTCACAGTCCCCACAGAGAAGCCACACAACATGCAAACCCCTTGCAGCAAGGCCCCCGCTGACACAGATGAAAGGAAGCAGTGCTATTGTACGAGACCCACTACTTGTGAATCTGACATTATGAAAAAAACTGCACAGTTGTACTTTTACAGTGGACCCCCGCATAGTCCCACTTTGGATTTTGCAAATTCACATACACATATGATCGGATTTCTTTCCGGAAGTTATCCTCCATCGTTTGTGGAAAAGATTCACCTATTTGTGATTTGCTATAACAGGGAAACAATATTGTCTATAGTATGTATGACATTTATTTTATTATAGCGTCTATTTTATTGGGAATACGACGGGTTATTGTCAGCCATAAAAATGACAAAAAGCCCCTGAGTCACTCCTCCAATCACAAATCTAACAGGAGCACTGTCAGATGCGTGATTGACAGTCAGGTGGAGTGGACAGACTTGATGGCCGCGCACATCTCTGCTCGGGCTCTGGATTGTTTCGCCAAACGAGGACTAAAAACAGCGTTAAAATCAGGCGAATCTGTTACCATAGCCCAGCGGAACGTCGCTAAACTTATTTATGACCGCCATTCATGTTGTCACTGTGGGGATCCAGCAGTTTCGGGTCAGTCAGAGAACCGGAGAACGACAAAGCTGCAACGCTCGCCACCATTGATGTTACTCCTGTGCTTCGCTGTGTAGTCAAATGTTCCTTGTTCTACACCAGACTGCACCGCGATAGCAATTCTTCATCACCATCATGATCCTCATCATCATCAGAATTGCTGACATGTATCGACCCATCCTGTGCATTATATATGTGTATGCTTAGGTGTAAGCTGTGTGTGTGGTTTTTTTTGGGGGGGGGGGTATAGAGATGTTTGAAGATGTTTCTAAATGTTTCTAAATGTTTAAAATGCCAGTAAACCGGTACATCATTTGTGATATATTCATGGTGTAAACTATTAAAGAAGGCATTTACAATTCCATGAAGCAGAGTGTCAATTATTCGCAGAAATTAGCTATTTGCAGACAGGCTCCTTCTGTATCCTTCATGAATCGCCACAATACAGTGTAAACTGATTTGGCTTTCCTGAAAGCCAAGCTAGCGGCTCACATCGTATTATCAAAATCAATAGTGCAATTGCTTTGGACATAATAAAATAACAATGAGAGATTTAAGAATATTCGCGACAAAATTACTGCATCTGACATTTTCATAGACTAATGTGACAGAAAACGGATGTCTTTTAGTGCGAGACCAAGAAACGCCCCAATTAATGCTCTCAATAGGCGACATAGCCAGCCAGCCAGAAGACAGACAGACAGACAGACAACGCCCCCAAAACACACACACACACACACACACACACACACACACACACACACACACGCGCACACACTTTTTAAATCAGCTCTGCAGTGAATTGTTAACTACGTATTTTACAAGCTTCATTATGGCTATATTGATAGACGGCCACAAAACAGTTCAATACAATCACACACAATAGTTCGCTTGCTTACCTGACTTGACACTACAATGAATATGGGCTTTGGATTCATAGTAGACCCAGTCAAATCCGGCTTCGACAGCAAGCCGAGCCAACATGGCATACTTGTTTCTGTCTCTGTGAAGATGAACATATCGTTATTACTGTGGCACTCTTCACCAAGCGTCTATTCATGTAACAACTTTATTTGTGAATATATAAGCCTGCTCATTAAAATCACCAAGTCCCATTCATCACTCTCTATCTCTGTCCACACACACACACACACACACACACACACACACACACACACACACACACACACACACACACGCGCACACACTTTTTAAATCAGCTCTGCAGTGAATTGTTAACTACGTATTTTACAAGCTTCATTATGGCTATATTGATAGACGGCCACAAAACAGTTCAATACAATCACACACAATAGTTCGCTTGCTTACCTGACTTGACACTACAATGAATATGGGCTTTGGATTCATAGTAGACCCAGTCAAATCCGGCTTCGACAGCAAGCCGAGCCAACATGGCATACTTGTTTCTGTCTCTGTGAAGATGAACATATCGTTATTACTGTGGCACTCTTCACCAAGCGTCTATTCATGTAACAACTTTATTTGTGAATATATAAGCCTGCTCATTAAAATCACCATTTCATGAAACACCATACTTCCAATAACAGGAATTTTCTCACGTTTAAATCCCAAAATCAATCCCACAAGACTTAATATTTAAGTTGGCTCATGGCTGTTAATACATATTGTGTTATTGTCATTGCCCACCTGTCTGAGGTGGTGATGTCAACAGCACGTCCTTCATAGTGCAGCGAGTCCTCTGAGTGATGGCCGTCCTCATCCCATCCCTCCGTCACTCTCAGCTTCACACCAGGCCACATGTTCATGACAGAGATGGCCAGGGAGTTCAACTTGTCTTTGCAGCGCTGCGAGTCGGTGGACACGAGAGATTAGAAAAGTCATTAAAAAGACTACATGTTCATGTGACAAGGCAAAGTGAAGCACTGCAGTAGCAATCAATTTCTGTCTTTACAATCTCCTGCAATGCACACCTCAAAGCTAATTATTTTACGATTCAGAATTTGAAAAAGCACCAATAAGTGTAAAAAAGCAATTTGACAGTAACACTCCAGTGAAAAGCTATTGTACCCAAAATGATACAATGCTGCTGCAGCTTTTTTTTTTTTTTTTTTATGTAAAGATCAGAAGATCTGTTGGAGAAAGTTAATGAGTTCATTGTGATGGTCACAGATTGCTGAAACAAAGTGGGGAGCACACCGCAAAGAAAGGTAAAAAAATAAATCAATGTTTATCCCAGATCAACATTGATAAATGATCTTCCCCAAAATTTCCCAATTATAGGGCACATACACATACCTCAAAAATAATAATTTGACTTTCTCCATCTGCCAAGGTTTTTTATCTATTGGCTTAATGTAATATTGTTTAAAAAATATGTATATTTTTTGTGCCCATCCTTGCCCATGCCTAAATGGTTGGCGCTCCTCTAAAATTACATCACACTGAATCACTTTTCTGTACAGCGCGTGGCCTAAACATTTAAGACAGGTCAGAAAAGCTGTTCATCATTCAGGTATAATCCCAGCAGTCTTTCTCCAGAACCAAAGCTTCGGAGTTGAAGCTATGAATCAATGAAATAAATCATTCTGGTTTAAATATTCAACTGACAGCAAGCATGGAGCAAAGAGTTTAATGTGACTGTGAGGTTTGCTCGTTTTGAAGTGATTCATAGACACGGTTAACCATACAGGACCTAAATCACTTGCATGGGGTAAATGCGCGTCTCCGTCCGCACATGAGCACTGCAAAGTGTTCCCAGCTCTCCTCCTTCATCTTCCTCCTCCTCATCATTTGCTTCTTTCTCACCTGAGTCATGAGCCGATCCGCGCCCGTGTCCTCTTCATCCTTGAAGATGATATCAGTGTTGTAGTTGGGTGTCAGCTCTTTGAAGCGCTCCGAGTTGCGCGTAATTTTGCCCTCGGGCCGCCCGCTCGCACCCAGCGTCTTCTCGGCCACATTCGGGCTGAATTGCTTGTAGGCTAGCGGGATGAGCTTCTTCGGAGGCCTCCTCTTTCCGTACCCCCTCCCCGGTCCGCAGCCCTCCGAGGCAGGTGCGAGGAGGAGAAGAACCATGGCGCACAGAGAGGCGGTGAGAAGGAGGAAGGGGATCCGCATCGCCCCGGGAGGAGGGAGGACTCTCCCGAGGGAGATATGCGTCTTCAGTACGTCTCCGGTTCACCTGTCGAGTCCATGGTCCTGGACAGCCGCATTCAGTTTGTCCCCAGATCACTCTACTCCAGCGGGTACCTCAGCATCAGTGCACCGATAAATTCCCACTTGAATGGAAAAAGTTCGCTGGCTGTGGCTCGTGGGTGCGCAGGCTATAAAGTCCGTGGATTTAAACAAACAGGTTCAAAGTCGATGAGGTGGGTGGAGGCCTCGGGTTGCCGGTCCTTGGACACATCCCTGACACACACAGAGAGAGAGAGAGAGATAGAGAGAGAGAGAGAGAGAGAGAGAACAGCGGCAACTGCCCGTCCACGTTTTTAATGTGGTTGTCTTTCCTGTCTCTTCTTTTACTCCGCGAAGTGTCACGACATCCCCCGTGGTTGTGAGGTTTTTGATGCTCCCAGCGAGACGACAGCGCGCAACAGGCTGCAGCTTTCCACTTGAATCCACTCCACTTGAGTGATCCACGACGAACTGTTGCCATTTCAGACCGCACCCTGCCAGTCCTGCCCTCCTCTCCCTCTCTCCCTCATCTGTCCCCGCTTTGCCACCCACCCCGCCTCTCGACTTGGGCACAGTGCGCACGGGAGAATCCTGTGCACACGCACGCACTTATAGACTCACATAAGCACACTGCACTGCCTTGGCAGGCATGCAACAAACTTCAGCTTTGTCCTTCAATGCCGCCACTTATCACTGTCAGCTTTGTCTTTGGTGTTTTTGTGCCCTTGTTGTAGTCTTGTCACCAATTTATTTCCCGGAGGAGCAGCACAGTCTACTAGTGGTAAGCCTGTCTGCTTCACAGTTCCAAGGTTCCGAGTTTGAATCTTGGTGTGTACAGTTTGATGTCGTCCTTCTTATGCGTTAGTTCCAAAAACCATGCATGTGAGAGAAATTGTCCATGTAGGTAAATGCGAGTGGGACCGGTTGTTTGTCTACCTGAGTCTTGCAACTGGCTACAGCAATCTGCCGGGTGTACCCTGCCTCTTGCCCAAAGACAGCGATCAGCTCCATCTCTGATAAGGGTATGCGCTGTAGAAATTGGGTGGATAGATTTCCCTGGAATACACTATTTGTGAGAAATTGTACTGGTGTTGTAGTGTTACAAGCTGCTGCCTTTTGTGCAGATTGCATGGGTTTAATTCCCAGGCAGGTACCCCAATTTTCAGGATTTAAAAAAAAACAAGTGGGTTGCATCAAGAAGGGCCTCATAAAAAAAATAAATAAATAAATAAAATAAAAATAAAATAAATAAATAAGTAAACAAATCATGAAAGTGACCCTCTGGGGCGACCCCTGATGGGACAAGCCAAAATTTGCAACAACTAAAGCCATAATTATGTCCCCTGGTTATGAATAAATACAGAACAATTTACTGTCTTCCAGGAAGACTCAAAACGATGTTGGAGGGGCTATGTGAGAATTGTTTTCAGTTTATCTGGCAAAACCATTTGTCGGGTCAGAGATGACTGATGTTGAACCTGAAAGAGGTTCTTCTAGCCCATCCAGTAGGTCTCCCACCGAACTCCTCCAGCCATGCATTTTTGGACCCTGCTTTGTAGACTGGGGCAAAACCATGCTTGGGCAGAAAGGGCCAGCCCCAAATTGTTTTCATAAAGTTGGAAGCACAAGATTATCCAACTTTGTGGTGGGGATGCTCAAGATTTAACATGCATGCATGGCATCAATTGTGACATCCACTAAAACCCATCAAATGTAGGTGAACACCCAAAACAGGTATTTGGAGGAATCTGTGCATGAAATGTGCATTACATGGTATTGTTATGGTGATGTTAATATTTGGTGATGGTCATATTTGCCTTTTTTTTTTTTTTTTTTTTTTTTTGCAGGTAGTCTGATTCCCAAAATGGTATGCATGGAATTGTCCAACGTTGAGGCTCAGGCGCAACTAAGGGGGCAAATCCAACCAGCGTTCAACCAAGAGGGCTAATGGTCCTCTTGAGCAAGGCACACAAACCTCAAAGTGGTCCTGGGTGCCCTTTGTTGGCCCCTGCTCCAGTGTGTCACAAGTTGTAGAGGGGTTAAATGCTGAAAAATCCTTGAAGATTTCATTATAATATGCCAAAAGGTCAAAGGTGAGTTGCGTGAACAGGAAGCAGGCCTGAAGCTTTGCTTGACAAATGATCAGAATTTTAGGTGCAACATATCATGTGGTCACTGGCTGACTAACTGAAACCTTGATTGTCTCTTTTCCTGAACAAATTAGCTCAAATAGCCCCGACAATCATTCGAAGTAATACAGTAATCTAGATTAATTGAACACACACGCACACACACAAACACACACACACACACACACACACACACATCCCTGCAAACACAAATAACACATTTTAACACACTTGTTTTTTAACACCAGCAAACACAGCCCCTCGAAATTAGCTCCTCAAATATTTACCTGCAGAAATTCAGTGGTCTCCCCCCAGTTTCTCTGGCCACCTCCTTTGAATGAGCTGAACTGTGCACAAGACTGAATGTGCACACACTTTATGTTTTATTATTTGCGAGCGTCAACACCGTAAAGTATTTTAGCAGCACTGCTACGTTTCATGTTGCTTGATGGAGGGCAGACAACAAAGAGAGATTCACATAAACGGCAAACAGCCAAACATAACCGTGTTTACTTTTGAGCTGAAATAGAACATCAACTGACACTTGTGTAGAACTTTCCAGCAAAGGCCCATACACGCTGGCTGAGGAAATCAAACTTTGTCATAAAGGTGTTAGTGTTTCCTTTGAGTTGCTTCCAGCTTTGTGAGGGAAAGGCTCTCATATATAATCTTAGAAGTAATTATTGCTTTGGAGACCCAGGGTCTGGCTACAGAAGTCGCTGCAGACAAAGATACACTTTTGCTGCTCCGATGCAAGAAGCACAACCATAAATTCATTCACCTCCACTCAATCAGTGATCCATGTGGACAAATTGCTTTCCTGCTGTTGTTAAGATTACAGCTTGTAAATCACGACGGTGGGCTTCAAGCTGCACCGAAGGGAAGCAGAGACCAAGTTGGTGATCGTGTTGAAATAGTACAACACTTAAGGAGCCCTTTGAATGCATCACATAAATGTTATGTCATGCCCGAATAGTAAACTAGAATTTCAAGAGTTATGAAGAAAGCTAAAAAGAATAATTAGCAACAATGTGCGATTGAATAAGGTTAAAATATGATTATTGGTTTGGTCACTGAGTGTTCTCCTTGTGGCATAGCATGAGAAAGAAAACATGTTTGTTTTGGATTGTGGAATTTCCGAATCTAAAGGAGACCTTGAATGTCTCAGATTTGTCTCGGTTTGTATTGGACTGACTTGTAAATACATGTGGGGGGCTGTTAGTCTTTGTGTGTAGCCAAAAGATTTATTGGAAGTGAGACTTACAAAAAAAAAAAAAAAAAAAGATACTTTGAGTGATTTCACGAGACACAGGGAACACAGGGAAAAGAAAGTCTGACCTTATTGTGTGATAAGTTACTGTTTTGGTAACATTGTGAATAGGATGTGCATTTTTAAGATAGTCAATTGTAATGTTGAGCAGAGTCACGTAAGTACTTTGCCAACAAGCACCCAACTTGCCACATGGACTGTTGTTAGTTCTCTCGTGGCCTGATCTATTCAGGTATAGTCAAACTCATTCAGCCTTTCAGCGCGGTTGTGTTGCATGGGTCGAAACATGTGTATCAGTTGTTGATCAGTGTATTTAAATGACAACTGGCTTAATTGATCCGATTTGTCAGTTTACAGGTCAGTCACAGACAGATATCATAACATACATTCAACTATGTTTCCTTGCCCTGGGTTGACCTTTGTTTCATGATATGCACTGTCCACATCCTGTAAGTGTATTTCCACTTCCACAGTAAACACATGCGCCATTTCGAATGACATGCACAACTGCAGAGCCACTGATATTTGAGCATTCCCGCGCTGGTGTGCTCATGCGTTCAACCGCACGCATGCAACAGCAGCAACTATATGCAAATTTGTGAGTATCCACATTTGCTCGACCACATGTTTTCCTGCGACTATCACATTTAGTGGGTTGTGCGTGAGTGTGCGCTTGTGTGTGTGTGCCATCCTTCCTTTGAAGATCATAAATACAGGCGTGGCTCCAGCCAGGCACGCTGCCTATTCAGCGCGGCTGTCGACAATGCTTCAGAAGTGGTCACATTTTCTCATCCATCCTTCCTTCCTTTCATCCGTCCATCTCCCAACTCGTCTTCGCCTCAAGACGCCACGCTCTTTCATGGAGGAAACAATCCCACCAGACAAAACCAGATTGTGCCCCGCTTCCTGGCTTGGTTTCTTTTTCGTGTGCCTCTTTGGACGGACTCCTTCAATGTTACTGCTATGGATCACATCCTTGAAGGTATGAGCTCCAGCACTCATGCAGGCCAACAAATGCACACGCGAACCCACGCATATCCAAGGCATGTGTTCACAGTGCACATTCACATGGTCACACTCACACGCACAGGAAAAAAAATAACAACCAGCATCAGTCTGCTTTCTCATTGATGTTTGTTAAAGTTATTAATTTTCTCCGGAAAATAAGAGGCCACAGTGGCAGGACAGAGGAAGATGGGTGCCAGGCCCGTAATCTCTTTTGACTTTTATCCACTGACGCTGGAGCCCAATGAGACAGCGAAGAGGGCCTTTACATGGGCACTAGGGTTACCCACGCATACCCAGGGCTGTAACCAACACCGATTTTGACTGAGGAAAAAAGAAATGAAAGGAAATGTTGAGGAAGAAGCAAAGTAAACAAGACGGAGTGCGAAAGAAAACTAGAGCAGCGGGGACCAAATTAAACAGGGCAATGTGGGACACATCGGAAAAATTAGGGCGTAAGTGTGGAGCTTTTCGGGGTGAGAGTGACGACATGGCACATTATCTGGTAAACAAGTGAGTTTGGGTTGTTTTGCAGGCAGTAGTAGCTAGCGTGTTTGTGGCTTGTGGCAGATTGTTGTAATGGGGGTTAAAGGACGTTATGCTCAAGGTAACAGCAGCTGGTGGCTAAAACCACCATCCCTCTTCCTCCTCCTCCTTCCCTTTTTTGTCTCTCCACACACTCCAAGGCCCAACCCCTGACCACAATAAACACCTAAAACTACATCTTTATACACAGGGCCTCTAAGTATTTGGAGTGGCCCAGCCATAGATCTCAAAAGTCTTGTTCTTCCAAGACATGTGGATAAAGTTTGACTGGATGTCCACTCTGAAAACACAAATCTTAACTGGTGAGCGTCGGACTTTTACGCATACATTTATTTATTTATTTCTTTTTGCCTTTTGAGAAAGCCAGTAGAAACCACAAAACCGTACTACCAACAGTAAAGCAAGACATCAGTGCCATTCGTGTTAAGGCTAGCTCAATGTAGTGCAGTTGGCTAAAGGGAAAGTAAAAGCAGGATGATATATAAGTAGACTAAATGTGGATCAGAGTTAGCGGGTAAGGCTAGCCACCGCATGGCTAAAGCAAACAAAAAAGCTGGGCCAAGGGACTGAAGTTCATTCTGCTGCGATACCAAGCACATGAAAACATGCACACACGCACACGCACACACACACACACACACACACACAGTCATATATCCGTGGTTAAGCTTTCATGCATGCCGTCAAGACGGCAGGTCATAAGCTTATTCCCTAGAAAATGTCTGGCTGTGCAGATTGACACAAGGAGTTGTTGTAGTGATTGCTGGGAGTACAAACACTAGCCAGCTGCACACAAATTACTACTTCTTAATGCACTTGAATCCCATATTAATAATTACATGCGAAAAGTCCCAAAATAGGAGATTTTTGGGTTGGGTCTGAGAAGAATCTTTCGAACCTGCACACATATATGAAGATTTGTATGAGGTTCCGTAATAACAAGCGCAACAGTTGGTTCAGGCCAACAATAATGTAGTCAATGTTCTTTTCATGTCAATTGAGGTTTCATTCTCCCCCTCTTCCTCTTGACCCCCCCCACACCCCCACCCCGCTCTCTCTAACTCGCTCTTTCGCTCTCCTGAGTGTGTGCCACATCTGTGGGCTCTGTGGTGATGTTTCTCCGCTCAGAATGGATTCACCAGCTCAAAAACGTCCTTATTATATTTATATTTTACTACACCACGAGGAAAGCCATGCCAGCTGGGCTAAGGAACCTTGGTCAGAAAACAGGGAGAGAAGTGGGGGTAGACAATTGACAAGGAGTGGGAGATGAGTGGAGGGATCAAAGAAGAAGTAAAACAAAAATAGCGGACGGTCAGATTGACGTGCAAAGGCATTGAGGCGTATGTGATGGTGCAAGAGTATGTAGGTTAAAGAGTTGACAAAAAGTCAATGGGCTCTCATATGTTGGATACAGTGGCTGACACGATCATACGATGTTATAACATCATACCTTGAAATGAACATTGCTGGATCATTGTAGTGTGTGCGAACTCGACTACCGTATTGGCCCGAATATAAGATGGTGTTTTTTGCATTGAAATAAGACTGAAAAAGTGGGGGGGTCGTCTTATATTCGGGGTCTAGACGTTATACCCATTCACGAGGCTAGATGGCGCCAGATATCATTGAAGCGAATGCTGAACTTGACTCCCCAGGCCAAAGCGAACCCCTGTCACGAAGAATAAAAATAAAAATAGCGGTAGCACGAAGAAGAAAAATAAAAAATAGTGGTAAGAAAGAAAAGAAAAGAAAATAATAGGAGATAACAGAAAATGGAGAAACGTCGCGACAATCTGGAGAAAAGTGGGTCGAAGATCGGCCAGGTTAACCGGCAGCTGAGAAGTTATGATGTAATTTACATTTCAAAAACCAGAAGCCATTCATTTACGAATGTGACTGCACTTTAGTTTACATATTTAAATGTTAAGATATTAAGATTTGATTGAGGCAAAATAACATGCTTTTTCTCTCAAATATATTGTGATAATCATTTGTTTCAGATGTACTGTAATTATTTTCTGTATAAAAATTTATTTGGTGTTCAAAAAGTATTTTTTCAAACTTGAGTCTTGAAAAAGAGGGGGTCGTCTTATAATCAGGGTCGTCTTATATTCGGGCCAATATGGTATTTAGCGTTGTTGCATCTACTTTAGTGCAAAAGTTGACCAGAATTTCTGAATTTATAGAGGGTGAGGTAATATATTTATGGGCCAGTTCTAGATTTGAGCAAATAGGGTATTCATCCATCCATCCTTTCCTCATTAGGGTCATTTGTGAGCCGGAGCACATCTTAGCTGAATTTGGGCAAGAGGCGATTCACACCCTGGACAGCTTGTCAGCCAATCACACCACCACCCGAACCCCAACCCCGGTCAAATCGGGCCTGATATAATATTACTGGCAGTAGTTTATTTTCCATGCAAACTAGTTCAACGTTCAGTTCACACATTTTAACGAGTTCAGTTCATAGTTCATACTTCACCGCAGCTGTGTGTACGGGGGTGTCAAATGGGAAAGTGAGCCCATACTTTCTGCGTGGGACCGCTACACTACCAATGACCCAGGGGTTCAACACACTACACGAGAATATAATGTATTCAAGGACACCACATCCCTCCTTGTTTAATGTTTTTTTTTTCCGAACACTCCGGATAGCGAACACTCAGAACTTCTGAACAGTCATTGTTCTTATGTTATTCAGAAGAGACATAAGACTTAAAAACCTAGTTGACGTGGTTGCCTTTGAGTTATGATTGAGCTTCAAATTAGAGGGTTGTACATGGTTAAGTAGTGGCTGTGCAAGAAAATAAATAATCCAACTGAGCAAAGTCTAGTTTTTATTAACCGTTTTGTATCTGGATATTCGACCTCAATTTTCTTTTGCTCCTCTAGTCCAGTTGTAGGGGCTGCAGTGTAAACATCCAGACTCCTATCTCTAGCCACTTTCTCTCCTTCCACAGAGGGTACAGTGACGTTCCCAGGCCAACTGGTAGACATAGCCTCTCCAGCATGTCTCGGGACACTTCACCAAAGTCAAAAAACAGATCTCTCAATCTTGTGACAAAGGAACTAGCAAGTATTCAGAAAAAAAAAAAAATCTGTGAATTCAAAAGGACAGAAGGATGGAAACGAGGAAGACTCACATTTCCTACCAACACAAATACGTGCTAGGAAGAAAGACACACAGCGGAAAAGAAAACAGCGATAAAGACCACAAGAAAGTGGAGAAAAGGCGAGACAGAGCAAATAAGAGAGATGGCCTGCTCAAAGACTGGTACTGATCAGTGGCTCACTCTGTGATGCGGCTGCCAGGTTCCAGCCCAGCGATTGGTCAACTGCATAACTCAGAACATGCATTGCCACAATCCCTCAACGCCACTTCAATGCCACCGCACTGGTTCACCACTTTGTGGCTCCAAGAAATGCCGGCTGGCATGAGCAACATATCAATAAATTCATTACACATTTATTCTAAACTATTTCTCAAGTTGCACTGTTTCACAGGAATGCTATTTAAAGTGATTTGATGTGCCAATGTGTTCTGAAGTTTATAGCATTGATCTATTTTGTGGTGAGACAGCTGTTCGATCAGGGGGCATCGGTCTCTCAGGTCCGTGTCCATGCAAAATTTGGGGGGAGGGGGCGAAGCATGATTATGAACTACATTGGTAAGTTTTTTTTTTGGGGGGGGGGGTTGTATTTTTACTCCTAGGCTCCCCCTACAGGTAACATTGAATTTAATTTCAAGAAATATATATGGGTAAACAGTACATGGAGACTATCTGAAAGATGCATTTGTTAACCGACAGCAGCTAAGGCTGTAACTCAATTTCTCTGCGTTGTAACAGCGTGTCTTGAAATAAACATGATCATTTTGCTTGTTGTTTGATCATGTTAGTGTGTGGCATTGTTTGAACAAGCACTACATACAATTTTGAAGAGTAACTTTGGCATAAACATTTGTGCTAACGCTACGTGAGAGCTGTCCAGGCAATGGCATAGACCACAAAATAGGTTGCCATGACAATGACAGAGACACTATTCTCCTTATTATAAGCTATGTCTTTGAAGCTTTTATTTTAAGAGTAAATTGCTACATATTATTGCTTTAAGTAATTAAAAGGCCACAAGCGCTGTGAGTCATTTCACTGAGGAACTACAGAAATAATTATCATGGGATTACTGTAACACAACAATATTGCTGGAAAAAGAAACTCAAGTGACCTCCAAGAAAAAACACTTGAAATAATTAAAGTCAAATGGAATTATTTATTCTAAAAACATGATCAGTCCAGCAGATACACTCATTGGACATGAATGTGTTCTTCTTAAGGTCTGTTCTTGTTCATCCGTTTTTGAAAGACAAACAATTGCTCTGAAGAGGACGAGTCACTCCGACTGACTTTAATTGAAAATGTGGTAAAAAATTTGCTGTTGGATTTGCGCCACCTGATGTATCACAAAAAGTTTATTTTATGTTATTTTTCTATATTTACAGAAAAAAAAATCACTACCTTACCCAGTGGAACCTGTCAATGAAGAGCATGAAGGTGATGTAAGAGCCACTTTTAGCGGGACAGACTTCGAATCAAACCTCCAAAATCGGGTTTGTGGAAAGACTTTTTCTCACAGGTATGTTTAATATTTGCTTGAAGTTGAAGTCTTTCTGGAATTGAGCAAAACATAATGGCGAGCCTACCATGTGACTCTTGAGCAAATTTCTGCTTCAAAACAGCACATCTGTGCCATTGAATGGAGTAACTGAAAAGTCAGTTCATCAGCCAGTGCATTTGCGTTATTTCTATGTTCACAAAAGGCAAAAAGCAAAAAAAGAGAGTATGGACCTGTTCCTGGATGGTGGGGAGAGGGCGGTATGAACTATTCTGCCAAACGAACTTGATGTTACGAATTTTTTTAAGAACACATTTGCGAATCAGCTACTAGCTTCACAATTTGCAAACAAAGTGTGAGTTTAAATGATACGTATACTTATCCTATATTTCCCCTTTTGTTGAAGTCACTTTTGAAATACTGTGCATTGTGATTGTCTGCACCACGTCCAGGCTCTCATCATAAGTATGAGGACACTGTCTTCCCATTGGTCAGCGCCGAAGTACCGATGGAAGGAGGACGTAGGACATCTCACACTATTTGGCAAGACAAACATAAATTCTGACATGCCAGACTTTCGTCGTCGCGGTTGTGAAGCGTCCCAGACGCCTCACCATCAGTCATTGTGTATGTCACACTACACGGACTACGGCGCGTCAAGACAACTCAAAATGGACTACGGGATACAACGTTTGTCCGCGACAGGTCTATAGGGTCAAAACCACTCTGTAGTCGTGAAGTTTGTCGTCGACTTTGGCCTTCGTGACTCCTCAGAGTGCTGAGTCGACAATCTGGTTGGTTTGAAGAAGACACAGCCATTTCTACTGTGCGTGCGTGCGTGCGTGTGTGTGTGTGTGTGTGTGTGTGTGTGTGTGTGTTTGAAGACAGCACTCAGGATTCTGGAGGCCTCGGGAAAAGTACATTCACATGGCAACACATAAAAGCTGATGCCTAATTGGACAAAAAAAAAGCCTGTACAGCCTAGACAGAGGCTATGAAGTTTCTTTTCATGTAAGGTACACCGTGTTTGGGCCATCAGAGAATGTCTTGAAGGCCGTGAATGCTCACCACTGGTCAACATAGAAGGGCTTCTTTCCTCGTCATTCCAATGGCAAGAGCTGAGGACTCTGCCGTTTGGAAGTATGTGTGACATCATCGGGAGATGTCCCATAACACTCTCGTGTTCACGTATGGGGAATTCGTAGTCGTCAGTTACATACCGTATTTTCCGGACTATAAGTCGCAGTTTTTTTATAGTTTGGCTGGGGGAGCGACTTATACTCTGGAGCGATTTATGGGTGAAATTATTAACACATTATTATATCATTGCACATGTTATTTTCACATTAAACCGCAAGAGGCCGCTCTAGACCTGTGTTGATAAAACCACGATGAGTCTGACGTAAGTGACGTAGAAGAGGAAGCGCTGCATCTTCTCCCTCCGGAGTTGGTGGAGTTGTTTTAAAGTGACACAGAGGATGAAGATTTCATTGGATTTAGTGATTTGGAGTGACATTGATGGTTTGGTGAACTTGTTAGCATGTTCTTTATGCTATAGTTAACTGAATAACTCTTAATATGTTACTTGAACATACCAGGCACGTTCTCAGTTCATTGTTTATGCGTCATGTAATGTTAGCATATCGTACACTTATTCAGCATGTTTTTTTTTAAATTTTTATTTTAAATTGCCTTTCAAGATGGCATGTATGTTCTTGGTGTTGGATTTGATCAAATAAATTTCCCCCCAAAATGCGACTTATACTCCAGTGCGACTTATATGTTTTTTTCTTCTTAATTATGCATTTTTTGGCTGGTGCGATTTATAATCCGGAGCGATGTATAATCCGAAAAATACGGTACATATTAGTGGACTTCGTGAAGAAGTGAGAGAACCCATATAAGCACAGCAAGAACATGGAAGTCCACTAAAAAAAAACCCCAACAATATCTTATCATTTTAAACATGATGAGCTGTAGCAGAGGTCAACCCTTTGTCGCCAACCTCAGTCATTTGTGACACAGAGTGGGATGGAGGAGTGTGTAGGTTACGGGAGAAACGGAAACATAGACAAAGCGACACGCACTAAGAATCACGGGCTCTGCTGACCATAAACGACATGACTCAGACAAAGTCAACATGTTCGATGACATCAGTGACCATCCGCTCCAATGTTTGAGCTTGAAATGCTTTGATACACCAAACAACCTTTATTTGTACAAACCCACATAGACCAGAGGCGGAAGCGTCATGAAACCAGAACAATTAGGAGGGTAGGTTCCATCAAAAAACATGTTGTGATTCAAATTATTACTACGTTAAAAAAAAAAAAAAACAATGTGCTTTAATCTGGATATTATTTACAAACTTTGATGAATTGTTTCTCTCAAATCCAAAACAGATTTGTCAAATTGAATAGTGGAGAGCTGCTTGACACAGCTGAGAGGTGCCACAGGCGTTTTGCAGGGACCAGAAAATATAATTAACACTTAGACTATAATTTGTGGTTGATTAGATCTGTAATGTCCCTTCCAGAGTGGACAAGATGTACAGTATTAAAGCACAGTTGATAATTTCGCTTCAGCCATGGTTAGAAATGGAAGCTGCAAGGGACCTTTTAAAAAAATGACACAATGAGGGAAGGATGGGCGTTCGCAACGATCATGAACTGCTGAACTAATCGAGATCTGGCTTTTTAGAAAATACCCATTGTAATGTTCGAACTCTGCGTGTTTGTAGGAATTTAATTTTGTGTGACTTATTCCCATACCTTTAGATGTGGAAGTTTGGGGTTTGAAGGCGCGGTTGTCTGAATGAGGGGTGGGATAGGCAGGCAGGGGTGTTGGAGTGTTCAAACAAGCAGCCTCTAATCCTGACACGATGCCTCTGCCAATTATAAATGCTTCAAACACGACCGGTGGGAGGAAAAAACATGACCAGGGAGACCAGACGTGCACCGGGGCGTATTTAGCTACATACAGGCAGACTGTAATTATATATTTGGGAAAAAGAGAGATTTTGTGACGTTGAGTGAAGGCAGGTGGACGGAAATGCAGAAACTAAGTAGCTGGCTGGCAGGAATTACTGTAAATGATTGATAGTTATTCAAAGTAAACCTAAGGTGAAACCGGTCTTCCGGGATTTGATATACTGAAAGAACTGATTGGACAATGGGAATGAAGGAACAGGACATGGTAGTCCTGAGGTGAAACCAATCGTAAATATTAGCCTAATAAAAAGCTTTCAAAATAAAACTGGACAGCAAAACAAAAAACAAAACAAAAACCTGTTCTAAAAAAAGCTTATCTCGACATCCTACCTTGCTTGGATTTTGTCACGGTCATTAATGGCTTCGTTATACTCGTGGTATAGAGGCTCGCAGCCCCTTGTGGGACAATGGGACAACCCAAAAGTCACAGCATCTTTAATGCCATTCTCAATTAAAGATGAAAAAAAGACATTTCGAACAAAGGTAAGCTGTAGGTGGATCTACTTGTGGTCTGCAGTAAATAGTTTTTATGTAGCACTGAAAAAGAAATCATAATAAAAACAAAACACCTTGGTGAGGGGAAAACAATAACGATTCAAATAAAATTATGAAAATCAAATGTCCAAAATTAGCATAAAGTCATTCACACAGGAGGTCTAACGATGAAAAAGAAAAAAAATGTCTGTACTAAATGGACTGACACATGGACAAAATTGTTGGGACCCCTTTTTTACTGAAAGAAAAATAAATTAATACGTTAAAAGTAGGTTGGCACGGTGGTTTACTGGTGAGCATGTTTGCCTGCGAGAGGTCTGAATTAATATATAAATATATATATATATATATATATATATATATATGTCCTGTGTGGAGTTTGCATGTTCTCCCCGTGTCTGCGTTGGTTTTCTCCAGGTACTCCGGTTTCCTCCCATATTCCAAAAACATGGATGGCAGGTTAATGGAGCACTCTGAATTGTCCCCAAGTGTGAGTGTGAGCGTGGATGGTTGTTTGTCTATGTGTGCCCTGCGATTGGAATGATGGGCAACCAGTTCAGGGTGTACTGCGCCTACTGAAGACAACTGGGATAGGCTCCAGCACGCCCTGCAACCCTTGTGAGGAGAAGCGGATCAGAAAATGGATGGATGGAAGGATGGATGGATCCATACAGAGAGCGAGAGACACAGAGAGAGAGAGAGAGAAAACAGTTGGACACAAAAACCTAATGAGACAGGCATGAAAAAAGGGCCACAAGGAGAATATCATAAAACTAAGCCTATACACTGGGCAGCACATTTCACTCTAGAATAGCTTGATGTTTTTGAGATTCCATTCTAACCTGCACATTTTTTGTCCTTGGTCATTTCCGATGAATTCCACTTTGTCTAAAACAACGGCGGTGCAATCTGACACTGATGTCTTGACCTTGGAGATCACTTTGAATTTCTTTGGAGGGTGTTCTGTGCTCTTTTGTTACCATTTCTATTATCAGTCTAAATTTGTCATCAGTTTTCCTCCTCCGGCCACGTCCAGGGAGGTTGGTGACATTTTTCAAACTTGTGACTAATATGTGCAACTCCTGTCACAGGAATATCCAGCTGCATGCAGATTGTCTTGTAGCCTTTACCTTGAATGTGATATCGTATTGCATAATTTTCTTTCTATTTCTTTTGAGACATCTCTCTTAATTCCTGTAGTCAATATTTAGTGTGTTTACAAATCATGTCACCAAACTGAAAAAAAATGGATCTGCTTTTTTGAAGTTGGACATCTGAAGACAGCTGTGATGCTAATGAGACCTTTGTTGAACATGTCCCAACAGTCAAATTATTTTCAATCTTGTCATTGCTGTCCACTCCTGAGTTTATTTTTTTTTTAATTAATGTAGCTGAACCACAATTCGAAAGCATGTCAATTTTCATTCTCTTTCTTCTTCTTCTTTTTTTTTCTTTCATTAACAGGGGCGTAATAGCAATTATATCTACATGTGTGTACGTCCTCATTCGATAAGTATGCATTTCGCTCCAACAATAGTTGTCATTATTACCAGTAAATGCCATAACAGCCGTCTGTCAGCATTAAGGTTCATGATGTGATGCAGTTTGAGTTTTAAGTGCTTTCCAATGTGTCTCTTTGACTCAGGCGCACAAACCGGGTCAACCAATCCTGGTTTTCATCAGCGTCACATGTCCAGGAGTCAAGTTATGAAAAAGCCAATGTTGGACAAACTTGGCTAGTCATAACATTCCACGATTTGACATAAGACTGCTTGGACTGTACATATTTTGGAGTACATGACTGTTGTATACATGACTCCAATCGCTTGAAATAGCTTTCCTGTAAATGTCTTAACCGATAGAATATTCAGTATTTGTGCAAGTAGTTGATTCTGAACACTGGTTGACAAGAATGAAACACATGGACCTGGTGTCATTTCAATTCTGTAAACTAGGATGTAAATCTTGAAAGATTATAATTTAGTGACAACCACCAAGATGCTGTGCTTCCGGCTGGCCATCATTACAAGGATTGACACTGAGTTAACGCTGGGAGAGGCTCCAGGTTGCGGATGTCTGAAGTCTTCAAGACAGACCGATGGCGTGTCGCAGTCTGTATGTTAAGAATATCTTCCAAATTTATACGTTTAATGTTTTTTACCTTTAATCTACAAAACACATTTTCGAAACATGTTTTCATGTCAGTCACTAGCGTGCTTGCTGTTGTTTACCCCTTTGTGAATGCCTGACATCATTTCAACCACAGCAACCAAATAATAGAGTGCACTGTAGACACTCACACACACACACACACACACACACACAGTCCTCCGCGCACACGCACACACACACACACACACACACACACACACACACACACACACACACACACACACACACACATCATCCCCTCCTTTCATCGCACACCACATTCACACTTCCTGTAAAATCCCGGCTTCCTAAACGATGGCTCAGAAACCAAGATGGGTAACAGGCCTACTTCTTGTGGGCTGCCACATGATAAAGAGTCCTCATATCATTAAATGAGCAAGCGTCCTGAGCTGTAGTGCTCATTTAGGATTTAATAGGTGACATTTTGGTGAAAGTCCCAAAATATGCCATTTTATTTTTAGCTCCGCTGCTCCTTTCCCCAATCACGGAATTTTAGGCCGCAGTTTTGAGTGTCTCCGACCCCATCTCCTGTCATGGTCTGTCTTTGTTGAGTTTGGTTTCAAATTTCAACTTTCAAATTTATTCTACTTTCATATTTTCCTTGTTTTCCTTTATCTGCCCGTCTCATAGGTTATTGGTACACCCGATTTACTCTTTGTGTCTTGTCCAGGTGTTCCTTGTTGTCTCATCAGTTTATTTGTATTTCGTTCCATGTTTCCGTTCGTCGTCCTTGTTACGTATTGTTGAATCCATTGCCGGTTTTGGTTTGTTACTTAGTATTTCTGATTACATACACCTTGTTTTCCTTTTTGTTGTATTTTGGGAGAGTAAATACATTTTGCTTTTTGAATACATCCCGCCTCACCTTCCTGCGTCCTTGAACTTGGGTCCTCAACTATGCTGCAACATGACAGTCTCCGACATTGTTTTTATAACCTGTTATCGTGACAGGATTATCCTTTATCCAGAAACATTACTGGAGACAAAGCTTTGGGCTACATGATTTCAGTTATTTAACTTATGCAGGCAATCACAAAAGTATGTCGTTATGTGAAGCAAAAAACCAAAGCCTTAAAATGAGAAGTGCAAGACATGAAAACAACTTTATACCCCCACTAAAGCCAATAATTAACTAAATAATATATCATTTAGTTTTTTTCCACCATGTCATTGTTGATAATGCTTGGGAAATGTATTAAAGCCCAAGCTCAGCTTTTATAATGTACCACAATTGTCTTCATCGGAAGTAATTGTTCCATGCCTTGGCTAAATTGAAAACACTGGTGTATGATTTAAAAACAGGATGAGGCATAAAATTAGTATTGACCACAATAAAGTGGAACCTCCAAAGTTAAACTCCCTAGAAGTTGTACAATTTGGACTTCAATCACCGTTTTCTGGAAAAATATACATTCAAATCCGCTTCATGTGTGAAGTCTAAATGCCAGCACATCTTATAGGGATTCATTCAACAAGTGTCTTTTTGTTTTTTTGTTTTTTTTAACTTTCTTTCATGGCTCTTTCTGATGTTAGGACAACACATATGTGAAAGAACAAAAGCGTAATGATAACCATAGGACCAGACATTATAGTCACGACAACAAGACAAAAAGAAACCGAGAGCAATAATTTAAATATCAGTTCCAAACACATATTTACGTAGATGCTAGTGGAACCCATAGAAATGTATTATTAACTCCAACATTATGAGGTACTGTAGCTTCACAGGGTTTTCTTTTCTAAAAAAAAAAAAAAAAAATGTGGAAAGGCGATCCAAGTCTAACATGAAAGAACTGAACATCGCAGTTCAACAACTACTCTCCAGAAGTGACATCCGAAATATTTTTCTCGCCCTATTTTGCTATCGCCAAAACGCATCTGTCAACCAGAACATGATAACTGAGTATACACACACACACACACACACACACACACACACACACACACACACACACACACACACACACACACACACACACACACACACACACACACTCCCAGCAGATGTTTCGTCCGCCACTGCCTTCCCAGAAACCCACAAGTGAGCGCATTTTCCCGCCGCAGGGTCGGGGAGTAAAACCACTGGAGAGGAGACCGCAGTGCTCCAACAAAACTCCAGAGGGAGAAAAATGTACAGAAAAACCTTTCAAAAAGGAAAGGAGGGGAAAAAAGCAAAGGATTTTCTAATCCGTCCTTTATTGAGGTGGCTGGTTTTCGGCTGGGCAACTTTTTTTTTTTTTTTTATGTGTGAGAAGGCTGGCCTGTAATTTTGGTAGCCACGGTGACCAGAGGGACTTGTAATAAAACGAGACTCTATTCTGGGATGCTCTGTAATAATGGACGCCACCATCCATTCCTCTTGTTAGAGATGGAATGATGAATGGAGGGATGGCGATGGATGGATATATGCTTGGATGGCAGTGGCATGAATGGATGTGGACAGTGTGTGAGGGGTGGCCCAACAGCAGGGGGCCCAACAATAAGCACAGTCACGATTCAGCTGACACGCGCACTCCTGACCTACAGGAATAAACAAAACAGATGGAATGACGTGGAAACGAAACGACTTCTTGAATATTTAAATGGCCCTATACATTACGCGCTGCAGCTTGAGCAGATTGGTTCTTTTGGGTTTTTTTTGCTGGGTCACCCTGAGCCTAGCTGCTCTGATTGATACACATCAGGGCCCATTATGACCTCACTCTTTACAAGACCTTGTGGTTGAATTTCTGCGTTCAGACACCTCTCTATAATCGTCACGCCATGTTAACAGTCAGCCATTAAGCCAAAGCCATAATTAGGAAATTACATTGGCACACATCCTGTCATTAGAAGTGTCTATTGCTATTGCATTGTAATTACATTTTAGTAGGTTGTTATTACACCATTTAGAAGCTGTCCGTCTTACCTCAATCTCCTCCTTAATTGGGTATATTGGCCTCTCCTAGCCCCCAGGTCCGCCCACCTCTTAGATGGAGCATTCCAGTGGTTTTAGATTTTGAAGATGGAGAGTATTATACAAGAGACTAATACGCCACATAATGAAAGAAAAGGAGGAGGAAACATGGCCGAAGGGCGGAGGAAGAGAATTGGTTCAAAGAAAGAACTTAAGCAAAGCACTGTGAAGAAATATTGAAAAGAACTAAATCGGGGAGGTATGGGGGTGGGGGTGGGGACGAACAGAGTTTTCTCGCATGACAGTTTCCCGACTCGCCAACTGAGGCTTGTCCTTTAATACCCAGAGGTCTTCATGTGGCTTCTCAACGAACTCACATAAAGCAAAGCTGGCCACATCACTGCCGTGCTGCTTGTTAGACTGTGTTGCTCACACGCTGCATGCATGCTCACGTGTGTGTGTGTGTGTGTGTGTGTGTGTGTGTGTGTGTGTGTGTGTGTGTGTGTGTGTGTGTGTGTGTGTGTGCGTGTGTGTGTGTGTGTGTGCGCGCGAGTGCAGGAGCAACATCTGTCAGACATGCAGAGCACTCAGTGAGACTTGCACATCTTAATTTGTCAACACCACTGTGATGGACAGG